TGGTTTGCAAATCTTGCACAGATACACAGCATTCGAACCTTTATATCACAAAACCCTGTTCGGATGGCGGGTAGCCATGTGGTAACACGTCACACGCTGAATGTCTGGGTTCGATTCCTCTCATCATCTTGATGTGTGAAGCTTATTTCTGATATCTCCGTATTGATATTTCTGGGTTGTTGCCAAAATGGCATAACACTTGTCTCATTCATCAGAAATACAAGTGGTATAAATATTATTCCGTTTGCTGTCTATACAAGCTGTACATCACGTGTGGATACGTTCCTTGTGTATATGTCCACGTCCCCTCTATATGTCCACTGTGAATATGTCCACTGTGGGTATGTTCCCTGTGAATATGTCACCTCTATACGTTCCCTATGGGTATATTCCCTGTGAATATGTCACCTCTATACGTTGTCTGGGGGTATGTTCCCTGTGAATATGTCCCCTCTATACGTTCCCTGGGGGTATGTTCCCTGTGAATATGCCCCCTCTATACGTTCCCTGTGGGTATGTTCCCTGTGATTATGTCACCTCTATACGTTGCCTGGGGGTATGTTCCTCTATACGTTCCCTGTGGGTATGTTCCCTGTGGGTATGTTCCCTGTGAATATGTCACCTCTATACGTTCCCTGTGGGTATGTTCCCTGTGATTATGTCACTTCTATACGTTCCCTGTGGGTATGTTCCCTGTGAATACTAGTATGTCCCCTCTATACGTTCCCTATGGGTATGTTCCCTGTGGGTATGTTCCCTGTGAATATGTCCCCTCTATACGTTCCCTGTGAATATGTCCCCTCTATACTTTCCCTATGGGTATGTTCCCTGTGAATATGTCACCTCTATACGTTGCCTGGGGGTATGTTCCCTGTGAATACTAGTATGTCCCCTCTATACGTTCCCTGTGGGTATGTTCCCTGTGAATATGCCCCCTCTGTACGTTCCCTGTGGGTATGTTTCCTGTGAATATGTCCCTCTATACGTTCCCTGTGGGTATGTTCCCTGTGAATATGTCACCTCTATACGTTCCCTGTGGGTATGTTCCCTGTGATTATGTCACCTCTATACGTTCCCTGTGGGTATGTTCCCTGTGAATACTAGTATGTCCCCTCTATACGTTCCCTATGGGTATGTTCCCTGTGGGTATGTTCCCTGTGAATATGTCCCCTCTATACGTTCCCTGTGAATATGTCCCCTCTATACTTTCCCTATGGGTATGTTCCCTGTGAATATGTCACCTCTATACGTTGCCTGGGGGTATGTTCCCTGTGAATACTAGTATGTCCCCTCTATACGTTCCCTGTGGGTATGTTCCCTGTGAATATGCCCCCTCTGTACGTTCCCTGTGGGTATGTTTCCTGTGAATATGTCCCCTCTATACGTTCCCTGTGGGAATGTTCCTGTGAATATGTCCCCTCTATACGTTCCCTGTGAATATGTCCCCTCTATACGTTCCCTGTGGGTATGTTCCCTGTGAATATGTCCCCTCTATACGTTCCCTGTGGGTATGTTCCCTGTGAATATGTCCCCTCTATACGTTCCCTGTGAATATGTCCCCTCTATCTGTTCCCTGTGGGTATGTTCCCTGTGAATATGTCCCTCTATACGTTCATTGTGAATATGTCCCCTCTATACGTTCCCTGTGAATATGTCCCCTCTATACGTTCCCTGTCGGTATGTTCCCTGTGAATATGTCCACTGTATACGTTCATTGTGAATATGTCCCCTCTATATGTTCCCTGTGAATGTGTCTCCTCTATATGTTCCCTGTGAATGTGTCCCTCTATATGTTCCCTGTGAATATGTCCCCTCTATATGTTCCCTGTGAATATGTCCCCTCTATATGTTCCCTGTGAATATGTCCCTCTATATGTTCCCTGTGAATATGTCCCCTCTATACGTTTCCTGTGGGTATGGCCCCTCTATATGTTTCCTGTGAATATGTCCCCTCTATACGTTCCTGTGAATGTGTCCCCTCTATATGTTCCCTGTGAATATGTCCCCTGTGAATATGTCCCCTCTATATGTTCCCTGTGAATATGTCCCCCCTGTATGTTCCCTGTGAATGTGTCTCCTCTATATGTTCCCTGTGAATATGTTCCCTGTGAATATGTCCCCTCTATATGTTCCCTGTGAATATGTCCCCTCTATATGTTCCCTGTGAATATGTCCCCTCTATACGTTCCCTGTGAATATGTCCCCTCTAAATGTTCCCTGTGAATGTGTCTCCTCTGAACGTTCCCTGTGAATATGTCCCCTCTATATGTTCCCTGTGAATGTGTCCCCTCTATATGTTCCCTGTGAATGTGTATCCTCTATACGTTTTCTGTGAATATGTTTCCTGTGAATACGTCTCCAGTGTATACTTTCCCAGCGAATACGTCCCGTGTATACGTTCCCTGTTAATATGACCAATGTGTATACGTTTCCTGTGAAAACTTCCAAAGTGTCTACATGCCTTGTTTATAAGTACCGTGTGAATACATCCCCTGTAAACACGTCCCAATGTGAATACATTCCCAGTTAATTCATACGTTGTGAATACGGCCCTGGTTTTTACGTCCACTATGGATATGCCCCATGTCTACACGTCCACTGTGAATACGTCTAGTGTGTATACGGAATACGATGTGTGGAATTTCTATCACACAGTTAAACAGGTATGACCTCATTAATCTGCAAGACCGGCTGTGTTTTCACGTCACTTTCCGTCAGCTCAGACGTTTTATTGCCTTGTTACTAGATCATGACACGTGCACACTTTCATGTAAGTTATACCCCGGACTTGAACAATGTATAAACCTCCACGATGAGCGTCTTGACGAGCTATATGACATCATGTCGCCACAGGTGGTGGTCACTGTGTATTCCGGATGGCGTGCACGGATGGAGGGATGTACCAAAGGTCACCTTCTGAGACTGGCCTTCAAAACTTAGCCAAGAACATACACGTCATGTCAGAGCATCCGATACAATTGGCATAAATGTATTTTTAATAAATTCCCATATGTGTGTGTAAATATTCATTGCTTGCACTCCCCTCAACCAAAACACAATGACAATATATTCTTTTCAAAACCTGAATGGGCATTGTCTCCAATTCTCCATTACCATATGTTGGCTACATATATTAAACACTACCTATGCAATCCAGATTTCTAGGCACATCACGAAAGCATATCGCCATTTGACAAAACCATCCACTTTACTACGCCAATACTCTTTGAGAGAATAGTTTCAGTAGACTGTTTAATAGATTATTGGACTAATCGTAATCGATAAGGTTCTAATTGTAATACGCCCTGAATAGACGGTACTATACTTGTGGAACGACCAAGCGACCAGCTTGGATGTACGTTGCTGGAAGACAAACCTTTATCAGTGTCAAGCAAACATGGTTGGGACCCCAGAAATCTAAGGAAGACGGTTTTATAGATGTTAACTTATTTATTATGAGGAACTCTACGTTTCGGAGTATATCCTTACTCCTTCTTCGGGTGAATGATATGATATGAGGTAGAGAGCATAATGTGCACATGTAAGAACAACAAAAGTAATAAGGCTGAAGGGGTCGTTGTCGGCACGGGTACTACAGATATGTACCCCAGGTACGTTTCTGTATACAGAAACGTACCCTGGCCATAATGAAAATACAGAAACGTACCCTAGGACGATTCCATTCCCATTGTGTCGTATTCTTGATCGGAACTGTCATGCTGTTGTATTAGATACATTAGATGCTTTATGTAAGTAATGAGAACACAGTAACAGATATTTCGCGATGCACATGAATACCAATCGGAATTAGTTGAACGGTAACAATTACATATGGTTTCGGTTTTAGATTGCGGAATATGGACTCGTCCGACTTTTAGGGTACCGGGTACGTTTCTGTATTTTGACTTTGTTTAGGGTACATATCTGTATACAGAAACGTACCTGGGGTACGTATCTGTAGTACCTGTGCCGACAACGACCCCTTCAGCAGTAATAAGACAACAAATGTGGAGGCAAAACATATTACTGTTGTTGTTATTACATGTACACAATATGCTCTCTGCCTCATTCACCTGGTGAAGGAGTAAGGATATACTCCGAAACGCTGTGTTCCTCAAAATAAAGAAGTTGACATCCATAAAACCGTCTTCCTCATGTGTATCACTTCTAAATGCCATTCACAGACCCCCAGAAGTCTAGTTCATGTCAAGAACTATTTATTCTGGATCCTAAATTCACGCATGCAGTCCTACATCTGATGGTTTATGATAAAAGAATACACATGGCAGTTGGTTGGTTTAATGTATTTACATCCATAACAGAACAAGTGTTCCGAACGTATGCATAATCTATTCAACCTAGATTGCAGTATCGTTTTCTCTATGATGCATCCAGAGGCATTGAGATGTGTCTGACAATTTATAGTTAGTTTTAACGCGTGGTTTCATCCTGATTCTGTAGACTCTGGTTTGATACAGGACTGTTCCGATTCGGAAGTGGTCACGTATGCCATGCCAATCATCATGATATCGATTACTTTGGCCGGTGGTCATAAAAATGCCCGGTCCGCCATTCCTGAGACCACGTGTTTATCTAATTAGGCTTCAAGTGTTGGCCTTGTGAAAGTTAAGTTCATGGGAGTGGGGGGTCAGAGGTCACCATGCCTTGCATTATGTAATCCAAGTAGTGCTTCCGCGTGTTACTGCACATGGGTAAGCATTCTTTCTTGTACAAAATATTTAAATCACTGTGGGTCAGGGCGGTAAGGTCACAGATATTTTTTAAGTATAACAGTGCTATCGTCTGACACATGAACACTTAAAGAAACAGGATGGTTAGTACTGATACACATAACTGGATTGTGGTTTATTCCAGTCAATGGGGTCAGAAGTTGGGAGAGGCAATAGCGAATGATGAATGGAGTGAGACGGGGATTACGTCATAACGGTAGTGCAACTGTTTGAATTTGATACAACTGAAGTTATGCGTTTTCTACTCACCAAGGCCGTCTGGTATAGCTCCACACATAATATCTGATAAATTCCCAGTTTTGAATGTAAGAGTGGCACTCCCATGAATGCCTCCATTCTGATCTCCTTGGAAGCTGGGGTCTGTCAGCCCCGTGTTGTCCCGCGAGGCTGGGGCAAGCATGACTTTCGTTGGTACCGAAACACTGGCAGTGATAGACGCGTTAGCCTCCATGGAAGCTCTGAAGATTATGTCTTTTATTCTACTGGCAAACACTTGGCTCTGAAGTATTTGTTTATTCTGTTCTATAGATGGAACATTTTGTCTCATTAGGGCAGCGATACTGCGCTCCAACTGACGCAATTCCTTGCGAGCTTTGGGGTTATTTGGCCGGACAACTCTCGTGTACTTGCCGCTAAACTTGTGATGAACGACCAGTATCTGGGACAAAGTAATCATAACAAGGACCAAACACAGTGTTAAGATAACCAGTTCTCCCGATACAGGGGACACCTTTTTCTTCCGCAGCATGGTTTCCAAGTGAACGGGAGATCGGTCCCTCGCCGCTTAACCCTGTTCGTCCCACATCGTCCTCCGATCGCAGATCGACACTTAATCGGAACTGGCTTCAATACAACCATATTCCAACACCGGGAGAGAACAGTCACAAAGCAGAACACACATACTAAACCTCACAGCACTCCGAACGCATCTGGATGGCTCCATCACCTCTCGCAACACGGCGGGCCTCGTTTTCATATCCATACAAGCAGACGATGCAAACGGATCGTCTGCTACTCGGCGAGGGCGCGCTGTGGCGAACGGCGGGTTCTTCTGACAGTGAATTCCGAGCAGTTAGCTGTGATACACGATAGCGCGTGAAGGAGAAACTGTGCCAAACATTGGAGTGCATCTTCGAGAGTAATTAACTCGGATACATATCGGAATCAAAGGGAGAAGCGGACACTCCGCTCAGTAACGTCAAGGAGAGGGGAACCACACAGGCGTGTCTAGCGGTGACCGGTGGAAAAAAGAGAGGCGAATTTCTAAATCAATATTCTTGGCAATTTACTGATATTAGACGGTTGCTATGGAAACGCCCCTCCGCCCGAGGAACGTCCAACGTTTATCGCGTCGACTGTAGGCGAAAATTCTCTTAATTAACTCATCTTTGTACAAGTGGAAAGACGTTAGTCTTGATGACTCAATCACAAATGTTTCTTCGGGGCTGCACACTGGGAATAAGGCAGATTAACACTAGACAAGGTTTTTCTCCAGGCTGTCTGTCTGTTTATGTGATCTGCTCCTCCCCCGTGTTTATCTTACGCTGCCTACGTAGCCGATAACTTAACTCGATCACAACAGGCTGACCCTCAGTGACAACACGATGGACAGTGAGTGAGCGAATAGTTTTAGGGTCGCTTTAAACAGTATTTTACTTCTATCAGATGGTGTCAACCAAACATGGGGGACATGTCCAAAGTTACCGTTAACGAAATATGTTTTTCTCTTTCGTGAACTAAGAACATGGGTAGGCCTATTGTTCTAACAGGTTTGTATCAATATTTAGAGTCGGGTCTGTGTTTATGTCATCGTTTGCCATCATTTATCATTGTTTGCCACTAGTTCATCAGACGGTAGGTATCTACTAGCCGGAAGTTAAACGCTAACATTTGCAGACTTATAATGAAAGATTAGAATTTTAAAACAATCTTAAATTCTGAACTATTTTGAACAAAGCAAAAATGATTTTCACTGCTACTTGACAAACTCCCGTCATATGAGAGGAAAACCATGTAAATATTACGAAAAATTATATCATTTCATCACTCCTACACAGCATCCGTTACTTGTCATTATACTCGTTTATGACTGCATATCAATTGATGGCTAACGTATGGCACGGAAATATGACAACCATTATTGATAATTCATCATTGATCATGTTGAACAGCAGCGAGAAACGCTCCTAAAAACAAAATTAGATGCATGTGTGAATGTTTCAAAGACTGGTAATTTTGAACTAATAATTAATTCATAAACGACAGATTCACTCACGGCATGATTTAAATAATAAATTGATTCTTAATTTGTGCATTAATCGTTGGTTCTGAATCTCTGGGAAAAGGAAACAGGGAACCACGATTAAGGGAATTGTGGTGGGGGTGGGCCAGGGAATTATTATTATCTATTACATAAAAAACCGTTTGAAAAATCTACTTAACAAATTAAAGAACAATACACATAATATTAGAAAATCCGCCTTTTACAGAAACTTAACATAAATATAACAAGGACCACTGGCCAAGATACCCTCACTATGCGTCTAAGGGGACACGGGTGGCCCGGGTGTATATGGCGCAACAAGATGAGTCCCTTGCGCGCCTATAACCGATGATAATGGGTTCGAATCTTGGTTGACCTTGCTTGATTCAAGGTTTGTCCGCACCATCGCCGTGCTGCTGTGTTCGGAATCTGAGACATGTATCACTATCCTCATATCAAACTGACACACATGTATTGAACGAGATCCTGCCAAAAGCGACGTTAAAAGCAACTATCTGAAACGCTCAAACTATGTGATCTTTTAGTTTCTGAAAACATATAACTCTGATCCCAACACATAACTCCATGAAATTTGAACAGGAGTCCGAGTGCAGTGGTAGATTCAGAACTAGACTAACGCTTAGTCTCTGAATATATATAATTTTGATAGTAACACTTAAACCCATTTAAATTGAAAAGGAGCCCCAATGAGTTGGGAGATTCAGGGGAAATCTAGACTTGCTTCATTTAGGACTTTAGCATTGCAAGGAGGGCCAGGCAGTAGGGGAAATAATGTGGTTCAGGGACTGACTAATTCAGAACCTGAACCTGAGGGAAACGTAGACTTGCTTCAGTTGGCGTTGCTGTATTACAGGGTTGGACGGAAGGGTAAATAATATGTTGAGGGTAGTGTGAGACAAGCTAAGTTCAACGTAGCTATGAACAGAATTTCGGTTACATAGTGGCGTACAAACTAAATATGGTATGAGGTTGATGAGTGTCCTGAAGGTAAAAACAGCAAGCAGGTGTATATAAGATGACAAACGAAGGATCTTCATAAAGGCAAATATGTTATTCGAACTCATGATCAGAGGATCCTAATAGACTAAAGGGCCACAACTCTGTAGAAATTAGTCACAGAGGCCCAAACATACCACTTTTCCCGTTACAAACCCAAATCTCGGAAGGTAGTTCGGCACTTTGAGTGTGTGAGTTGAGTTTTTACGCCGCTTTTAGCAATCTTCCAGCATTATCATGGCGGGGGGACACCAGAAATGGGCTGCACACATTGTACCCATGTGGGGAATCGAACCATGGTCTTCTGCGTGACGAGCGAACGCTTTAAATACATATACTAGGGCTACCCCATCGCCCCTTCGGCACTTTGCTGACGGTTGCACAGGAAAAAGCTATATTAATGCCACGTACTGTACACATATATACTACCCATCAAAAGTTTAGACTCACTAGTGTAAATGTAGCCACTTACTTGTCCACTGTTCTAAACTAGCTTTTTGCAAAATATTCCATACTGTTTAAAGGTACTGTTTAGTTATGAACTGGTGTATTGTAAAACATATTCGTAACATTGAAAAGATTATTGTCATGAGTTCAGTAAATGATTAAAATCTGTGAAAATTGGCGAATTCTTAACAAAACTTTACACCAAAACGAATCTGTTCACATGCACGACATTTGCTCATGCCTTTCGCAATTTGAAGCATCATCCTTGTGCAATTCATCTGCATAAGGTTTTCAGTTGGTTCCCCCAAGTTGGTGGAGAAATTCATCTTCGATGTAACCACATACATATACATAACATATAGTGAGTGCTTTCAGTGAGTCTAAACTTTTGATGGGTAGTATATTATGATTATGTAATTGTCATAGTTGTTATTGTGTGAAAGGTTTTCCATTATGCTCAATTTTAATTTATTTATGCATTTTTCATGGTTTGTGCTGTTAAAGATTTTAAATGTCTTAACGTCTACCATTACCATTATGGTGGCTTTCACATTTTATCTCGGTATATATTGTATTTTAAACTTTGTAAATATATCTGGCGAGACGATAATTATATAACATATATATACTATCTCTTGTTTGTGGTGACAAACAAACTACTTTATATTCCACCACGTTAAGTTATTCGTAAAGAGAATTATGTGATCACATTTAAATCAACCTAAAGATTTTAACTAAATTTCCTTTCTGCGACATCAAAGAGGCTTAACAATTAAAGTAAGATCAGAGAGCACAAACAGATCAGCAAACGCAGGGATACGAAAGTAATCAGATTATATATGCTATATTTGATGAGCACAAGGAAGTAGTGTGTGGTAATTCCGGGAATAATCTCAACTCATTGTCATCCTTTCGTTCTGTTAAGCATGTGTTGTGTTTAGAGCGTCGTGTGTGGTATGATTCCCCGTTGAGAAGTACTTCTACAAAACAGGCTCTGAATGGGATAATCTCTGGGCTATAAATCAAGGTTAAAAACAGGTCTACCATAATTTCGTATTGTAGTTATATGTGAAAAGTTAGGTTGACCTCGACTGAGCTATGATATCACAAACATATGGCACAAAACGATGCTTCTACTGGCTAAGAACATACATGTAGCTGTTGTTTCTTGAAAAGCAAAATGATTATACGATTATTTATATATTTGTCCACAGTTAGACCATATTATTTAAATACAAACAAACAGTTGTTGTTTTAATTTTTCTCAACATAACTTTTTCAAAATACTTTTAAGTTACACAGGTGATAAAATGTTAGCAAACATCTAGTACTTTCTGAGACTTAAAGGCTTATACACATATTTGAAAATAAATAAATATTCAAAAGTAAACCTTTCATGTGTCGCCGTAGCCGAGGTTACTTCGTCCTGAAATACATTTATACGGTATATCTCGACGCAGGTTCGACACAACGTATTCGAGAAAATGTGAAATTCGCAAAAGAAATGTGAAAATCGCTTGAGTGTCAAGTTAGAATAAGCTCGCCTTTTTTATCTGTACAGTAACTAAAATTGTGAATAGGCACCTCCCTATATATGTACAGTATCTTCAGCGTGACTTTAAACCCATTTCACTTGATTTCCAACTCTGAACAGGTTGTCTCCATACACAGATGAAAAGTTTCAACGGCCTTAGCAGTGTCATGCCCCCGCAGAACTGATCCAGGGCGTTTTCTCTTACCCCCCGGTGGGTGAAAGTCGTTCTTCCGGGATTTGTCTCCAGGGATGCTCCTCACATTTGGAGAAAAACCGATTCTTAAAACATTAGATCATTGCTGGCAAACAATGTAAGGATGGGATTAAGTCTGAATAATATTATTTATTCATACATACAAATTCATTTATAATCCTTAAGCATGTCCACAGTTTGTTCATCAGCGAAAAATAAAATGTATGCTCGAGACTACTTGCGTCCTTCGTCAGCATCAAACAACGTGGACGTTATCAGCAGTGTGTATTTCATTAGATTGATAATGAAATATGACTCTGGGTTAAGCAGTGACGGCCTGGCTCTGACGACGCAGCATTAACTGATAAAGGATACGATCGGGACTCAAACATGTCAGGCTTATCGTGCAATGGCAGATATTTTCTATGTTACAACAGCTTTGACGATCGGAATTTGATGCGATGAACTTCAGCGGCCTGCATGGCTAAGTTCCATTAGTGGAATATTTCAAGCAGTGAAAGGTGTCATTGGAAGTCGTCGGAAATAGTCCCCAGGAGATTGGACTTCAGAATTTTCTGTTATTTGCTATAATACGATTGGAATTAATTGAAATGCTTTCAAATAAAAATGATAAAGAACTGGATTCCATGTTTTAATGGCAGTTTTGCTGGCAGCATGCGTCCTTGATACCAAATATGTAATTACTTGCGTCTGCACAGTGGTCAAGTTGAGAGAGCGTCTGCCGGACAGCGAAAGAAAAGATGGTATATGTTGTCACCCTGCCTGGTGCTCGACTAGATACAACTAGACTGGTCGGGTCGAGAGTCAGTATATTGACTTGTGTCTCTATGTTAAACTGTGGCAAGGGATCTCACTGTCAAACCGGCATTTGTTGGGACTGGTATCAGTTCACACACATACAAACACACACGTGCGTTATATTGAACGCGACGATAAAGCACATTTGACGTCACCTCACTCCCAACTGCGTAAATTCACTAGCAATCAAACAGTAAACATCAATAAACTACGGTTATCACGATCTGAAAGAAACACTTTTAGTTTTTAAAACCGTAGTTCGTTACACGCATTTTGGTCTAAATGTACAGAAATAAGTACAAGAAGAAAACAGTTCGGTACATCCGTTCGTTCGTTATAACCGTGTTCGTTTTAGACGTAGTGTACTGTATTTACTACAAACCCCAGATACATGAAATGAATCATGGCTAAAAATACTAGTTTCAAAATGGCTGTCGCTCAGGCAGTGTCGGTCACCGCGACGTCGTATGTCATATGTTTTACCTTCAGTGAGTGAGTGAGTGAGGTTGGTTTTACGCCGCTTTTAGCAATATTCCAGCAATATAACGGCGGGGGACACCAGAAATGAGCTTCAAACATTGTACCCATGTAGGGATTAGAACCCAGGT